TATATGTATACATTGGAAATGATTGAGAGTACATACACACACACACACACACAACACACACATACATACACACATATATATATGTTTAATAGCAAACGTGATACGGAAACATTCGATACATCTCGTGGATTCAGATATTGTTCGTAGCTTTCACGGCCCCGCGGAAATTCGTTCAGAAATCGATCATCGATATATTTACTTTTATCGAAGTAACAAAATATAAAGAAAAAAAAAATATATAAAAATAAAAATAAAATAAAAAGAAAACAAAAGCAATTTCGTTCACGAAATCGAAAATATATGTAGGGATATATATGTACGTGTTACATGTATGTACTTATTTAGTATACACATTTACTACCTCTCTGATCTTCCGGCCAATGCTTGGACAATAAAAACACTTTCACGAGAGACTACGAGTTCAGAAAATTCACGTATAATGATTAATATTTATAAGACTGTTCTATTTTTATTTAAATCTTTCGAAGAACACGTTAGAATATATTTTTGTTTCTCTTTCATTTATCAGTAAAAGTAAGAAATAAAAAGTAAAAGTGAAATATATGTAGATATGAATATTTATATGGAGGGTGTAAATGTGAAAGAAAAAGTAGAATATTTTTTATAACAAATTACAAACTTTTAACTATAAAATAATTTTAATTATTTCATAGAAATTTGGAACTTCGTTTAATCAAAAAAATAAATGGAAAAAAGGTGATAGTAATTATCAATAAAATTATCAATAAAATATAATAATATAAATATGATATGTTCGTATGGCTCAGTGAGGAAACACACCATCAAGTAATGTCAATCCAGTTGATCGTATGTTCCCGAGTTCTCAAATCCCGCTTCATCAAAAAATTTTATCAATTGTTTAATGTAGTCTAATAAAATATCAGATAAACAAAATATAATGCTCCTGTTAAATAATATATACATATAATAATATATAAAATATACACACACACACATTTAATTTATATATTATATAAAATATATTTAATATATATAAAAATTATAAATAATATTTAATATATATAACAAATATCTAATTAAATCTATTAAATAATAAAACAAATAATATTTATTATATATAATAACAAATATATAAATAAATAAACAATAATATCATATATTAATAATCTAATTAAAATTTATTAAATAATAAAACAAATAAAACTCATTTACAATTAAACAAAATGAAATCTCAATAGGTGTTTCATTTATATAAACCTCGTATGCTTTAACTCGTGGTTACTTCGAAAGTAAAGACTTGAATGATAAAAATGTGTACGAGTATTACACATACATACATACATACATATAATAAAAAAATATCATACATATAATATTAAAAAATATACTTTTCCTTGTAAATCGTTTACAAGATTCTAAGAGACAATACAACAACAACACAGGTATGGGTTTTAAACGGTAGGATGAATCTTTTCCTTGTAAAACGAGAAGTCAGAGTGAACGTGGAAACTATTATTATATTCGATCTTCATCATGCAAGGACATTGCCGTCGTCGTCTCTCTACTGGGTTGGGTATAGTTAACGAGATAATATCCATAAAAAGATAGTGCGAAGTAGTCATTAAATAAGAACACATATATACCTGGTGTTATTTCTATTACCTTTTGTTTTTTTTTTCCATACCTTTTGATACTTAACCAATTTTGAATCAGTTATGAAAGCAAATCTACTTCCTTTTGCATTATTATAACGTAAGAATGCAAATTGTTAGGTGAACTGACGAAATGAGATGTCTGTTTTGAAAGAAAATTACAATCTTACAATTTTAAAACGAATAACTAGTTCGTAGTTGCATAATTTCATTGAATATTAACGTTCATGATTTTTTTATTAATTTTATATATAAAAAATTAATAAAATATATCATGGATAAGATCTAATTTGAAGATGCTTGTTTTAAAGAAAAATTATTACAACCTTACAATGTTAAAAAACAATGTGTTTGTAGTTGCATAATTTCATCGAATATTTAACGTTCGTGATTTTTCATTAATTTTATAAACAAAAAATAAATAATAATCATCATAGTTCAAATCGAATTTGGAGATGCCTGTTTTAAAGAAAAATTATTACAATCTTACAATTTTAAAAAACAATAAGTTTGTAGTTGCATAATTTCATCGAATATTTAATTTTAATGATTTTTCATTAATTTTATAAACAAAAAATAAATAATAATCATTATGGGTAGGATCAAATTTGGAATAGTCATTGAATTAACGTGAAATAATGAAACGAATTAATTTTATAAAAAAGTGGCAAGACAGTTATTAGTTATTAGTGAGAATAGTTTGATTAATATAAAAAAAAAAATATAATAAGGTTTCCTTTTAGCAAATAGAAAAAAACTAAGTAAGGGATCTATATCTTGTTCTTCTTTCATTTGTCTATCTTTCATTCTATTCACATCTTCCTTCGTTCTAGATATTCTCTACTCGATGAAAAGCTACTTTCCACTATCAGACAATTGAATTTTTTTTCCTATTTTTTTTTTTTCTAAGGTCATGAGGACTTGGAATGAAATTATATTATCATAATTTTTAGTTAACTAAAGTGGATCGATATATATGTATGTGTGTATATGAAAAGAAATGATGTATATAGATGTAATGAATTAATAAATTATTAAAAACCAAAAAAGATTATGATATTTCTAAATAGTGAAAAATAGGTTTTTAATTATTTAAGTCTTGTTATAATATATTATAAAAAAGTTTATGATATTTTTAATATTAAAATTTATTATATTATATATTTAAAAATGTTAATAAAAATATAATATATATAATATAATATTAATTATGTATATATAAAATATTATCTAAAATATTATATATATAATATTATATATTTTAATATAAAAATAGATATAATATTATGTATTTTAATATACAAAAAAAAATATAATATCCTTCATTTATTTATAAAAAATTAATTTAAAATAAAAAGAATAAATATAAATATAAATTAAAATAAAATAAAACAAAATAATAAATTAAATATGAAATAAAATAAAAATAATAAAAAATAAATTAGTAAAAAATTAATTCATAAAAGAATATATATAATATTATATTTTTGTTATAAATTATATGTATATGTATGTATATTAAAAGGAAGGAGAGGTATAGGAAGAAAAATGAAATAGAATTTATTAAATCTTATTTTCTTGAACAACACATTCATATATAAATATATATGTGTTTATTATATTTATGCAAGGATTGAATAAAAGGAAGGAATAATAAAAAGTTGACGAAATTGAAACTAATTCGGTGGAGTAGTGCACGAGTGAATTGTATACCTTATGAAACATGATTGCCCCTACACACAGGACGTAAGAACGCAAACGGATAATAAGTAACTGCGTAAGAGTGAATAATAATAAAAATAAATAGAAGGAGAAAAAAAAAGAAAGAAATATTTTATCGTAGCTAACGTTGAAAGAAAGTTTGTAATATTTCTTTTAAGTTAACGAAATCGTCCAAGGAAACGTAAAACTCGTATGGGGGAGAGTGAGTAACGTTCAATTACAGGATTCTCATAGCAATGTCATTCCTTTAATAAAAACCACCACTACTATTACTAATACTAATACTCGTAACCATTTAACAAAAAGTGGGAATATAATTGTGACTGTTACGTTCGAAAAAAAAAAAAAAATATTCTCAAACTCGTCGACTACTTTTCCCATGCTTCAAAATTTGTGTAAAAAAAGAAAATAATATTACAAAATTCATTCAGTTGTATAACATGTATAGTGTTGATAACGAGAATCTTTTTAAAATACAAATGAAACGAGTGATTCAACTTTCGGCCAACTCAAAACACTCATGAATGTATGTAGTTAGTCGAAAGTATTGGCCAATAGCATTTTAAAACTTAAGTTATACTTCCTGTTCATATATACAGTTAAATCTCATCTCTTTCTCTTTCTTCCTGTTGGATTCGTTTAAAATGGAGGGTTACGTGTTATTTATAGGTAGAAACTTAGTTTATTTTTTTAGTTTATGAAATTAAGGTAATACATTTAAAACGTGATTACCAACCGAAAATGGGAAATGTTCTTTTGTCTTTCGATTAAGACCAAATTACGAAATTAGATCGTCGAATGAGATTTTTGTTAATTTGAATTTGTTACTGATGAGTGAAAATATTCTCGTCTATGATGTTAATTAAATCTTCATTGTTTAATGTTATCTTTACTTTCTTTTATTTTTCCTATTAAACCCATAGAATTTCTTATATTATGTAAATCGTAATTAATTAATAAATTATTAAAAAAAAAAACAAATATTATAAAATTTACAAGTAATTTAAGATTGTAACATTTACAATTTTAGGATTGTGTGTGTGTGTGTAATATTTTTAAATTATTAYAAATATGTTTATAATTATTTAATTTTTGTTTTTCAAAATTTCTTCATTGGTTGTATTGTGTATTACATTTTTAAACTTTTTCTTTTACCCCCTTTACCTTCTACCCACCTCTTCACATCTCAGAATAGAAACGAAACAAATTTCCATAAAAATAGAAAAAAATTAAAATTAAAATAAAAATAAAAACAAAAAGATTTTAAAACAAAACAAAAAAATACTCAAAGAATCGTTCACGTTCAAAAAAAAAAAAAATAAAAAAAAAAAGGAAGAAGTTTTTACGTAGACCACCGATGGTTCATCGCGTTTGGGTTACGTGTAGCACGTGCCCACTAAACGTTCAACCTAACAGAGGTAAGAAAAATAAAAAAATAAAAATATGAAAAAGAAGGGGCTGCGATTGCAAGTAAGAGAAAGATAGAGTCTGTTTATGTGTATGTGTGAGAGAGAGAAAGAGAGAGAAAATACATGAAGAGGAAGGGAGTGTAAAACGAGGAGGTTCGTAGAAGAGCTTTTGCCCGGAACGAAAGCATGGTTGGTGGGAGATGGATATAAGCCCATCGGTTCGAGAATAATGCTATCAGTGACTTCGTGTACTCTCGCATAAAATAACCTAAGATAGAAAACATTTTTTTTTATTGTTGTTCTTTTGTGAAAAGAAAACGCCATCATGTTTAAGGTATGAAACAAATTTCATTATATTATTCCTTGTCATTTTTTTTTCTTTTTTTTTTTCACTAATATACAACTGTATATATGATTTATTAGTTAATTTGTTTTTTACTAATATACAACTATATACGATTTTTATTTGTTTATTATTTTTTTTTAATATAAATAAATTAATTTTATATTAAAATATAAATTTAATATATAAAATTTATATATATATTTTTTTAAATAAATATTTTAACGTGTGTCTGTAATTATGGCAATTGATCTAATAATAAAATATTTTTATTATAAAATAATTTTTATAATAATATATATATATATATATATATATATATATATGTTTCATATACTTATCAATTTTTATTCTAAAAAAATTACTTTTGTTACTCTATTTTTTCTTTTTTTAATTACAAATTAAGATCAATTATTGTATAATTATTTTTTTTTGGTTTCTTCTTAAACTAGTTTTTTTTTTTTTTTATATAAATTTTTATTACTACGTTTTTCAAGATATGTTTTTGTTAATGTGTATCACTTATGGGTGACAAAAGACACAAATTATTTAAAAACTTGGAACCCTCGTTTTGTTCTTGCCAATAGTCATTTCAACCCTCGTCTTTCACTCATGTAATACTCCTTCCTTTTTCTTTCTCTCTCACTCTCTTTTTCATACAAATCATATTAGATATATTTGAGAATGAAAAATTGTTACACGGATGTTATGTTTCTTTACTATACACACGTGTGTACCTTTCTTTTCTTCATTTTTTTTTTCATTTTTACACCACCATCTTTCTCATTTCATCTTTTCAACACCAATAAATTATATTTAAGAATATAATATTAAATCGTATATTATTTTTTTCATTTTAAATCTGTTTGCAACAAAAAGTTCATACGTCGTGTAATTAATTTCATATGTTTTTTTATTTCTTTTATTTTTTTCTTTTTTAATAACATTTTATCCAATCTGAATTTTGAATCAGGTGTTTCTTTCATTACTTCTACTAATTTCATTTCTCCATAATGCATACGTATACATATATATGGTAACGTAGTACGTGTGATTATGAGCTCAGTTTATGAGATAGAAATGTAAAGAAGAATGTATAATATGACAGTAGAAAGAAAGAAAGAAAGAAAGAAATAAAAAGAGAAAGATGGTTTAGAAGGCACTTTAACCATTTGAATTTCAAACGAATAGTTCAAAAGGAAAGTCTTCGTAACAAATCTTTCTCACCGATATATCTTTCTCGTAGTATATACTTTTCGATTGTATTCTATACATGTACACATCATTTATACATACGAAACAATAATTATTATTGCTACGAGTGAAAGAATAAAAAAAAAATTACTAAGCAATAAATCGTCTTGTTTTAAATCAAAGTGCACATGGTTTTGACACCGTTCTTGAAAAATCGTTTAAACAGATTTCCTATAATTTTTAAAATAAAAAAATGAAAAAGAAAGAGATAGGGATAGACAGTCAGAAAAAAAGTAAACTGGAAAGATAGTTTTAAATTTTTTTCCAAGAAAAAAAAGGAACTCGTGTCAAACTTTGAGTTTGATTAAAGGTGTATAAACGTGTCTCACGTGAACAGGAAATGACATTTCTTCTTTTCTTGATAATTCAAGTATTACTACTCCATTTTCACGCTAGGAAAATAATCCAAAAAAGGGATTTAAAAAAAAAGAATATAGAAAAGTTCGAGTTAAGAGACTACGTATTTAGTTTTGATTCAACGTCAGAATATGAAAAGATATATTTTAGATTTATTTTATTTTTTTGAAATAACGAAATAAAGAAGTTTTCTTTATGCGAAATCTTAAGGGAACGGGCGAATAAATCAAAAGTGGGAAATGGATAAACTGATGCCTCAACGTAAATAGACTTCTCAAGGAGAATATTTGATGCATAGTTTGAAACAACTTGCTGCGAAGAGATACTATGAAATTTATGAAACTTTTCCCTTCCCTTCCCTTCTGTACCCTTTCCTTTTCCTTTTCCTTCCGTTGTTAGATTCCAACAGCATAGAAAGAGAGAGAGAAAGAGAGAGACGATGTGTGTTGTTTTTATCGTTTTATGTACGTGCGGGGCTCTTTTTCACGGATCGATAAATATCTTATCGTTGATCATTCGTAGAAAGAAAAAAGAAAATGATCTTTTTTTTTTTAAAAAAAGATTCCCAGATTGATTAAGACAAATAATTATAATAATAATAATAATAATGATGATGATGATAGTAGTATAACTACGTAAGAAATGTATACGTATTATTTACATTGGTACGTAATGCATTTATCGATATAATTAATTTATTAACATTTAAAATATATATTTGTATTTCTAATTAAAATTATAAACGTGCATGTTTATTTTTTTTAAATAAAAAAAATAATAATAGAAAATTAACTCGTATGAAATGCATTTGCGTGCATTTAATGTAATTTGACAAAACCAAGAAATATATATACATATATATATATATATATATATATAAATTTCGTAAAAATATTTTCCTTATTGTTAATTAAATATAACAAACTTACTTTCACATCTAAGATTGTAATATACCACGAAGTTAAAAACCGTAGAAATTTTAATTATTCCACAATTATATTATATTTCTTATCATTTTAAAATGATGAATGACACATTTTGTATTGTTGTTTGTTTTGTTCTTTCTTTTCTTCTCTTTTCTTTTTTTAAAAATATTTTTCGTAGATTTTGTACCTGGTCTGTGCCATGTTTGCGTGGTGCGAAGGGATTCTCGTGAGTGGTTACAACGGAGGAACAGCAACCGGTCACACGGTTTCTTATAGTGATTACGAAGGCCTCGATGGGGGATATGCTGGATCTTCGGATTACGAGGGACATGCTGTTCTACCAACTATTGCAGTTCCGGTGCACGCGGTCTCGGCCGCACCGTTACACGCCGATTCATCCTTCGATCATACTTTCCATTCCTACAAACAGCATCACGCCGACAAGGACCACGACTATTACGTAAGTTGTTTTTACCTTTACTTCCGTCAATTAAATATTGTCGAATCATTGAGAATCATAATATGAGATTATATTGAAAATATTTTTATATCACAATTCAAAAAAATATTTACTTTTATTTTATTTATTTTTTAATATTTTATTTTTCTCTTCCCAACTTCTCTTCGTAACCCCCGTAAAATAATAGCTAAATAATTATTTACATTCTAGGTCCATTATTATCGAATTTAATGAAAATTTCTTTCATTAAAATTTGCATAAGATATTCTTCAAACTCGTCTTTGAAATAATTGATTTTTTAAAATGAGAGATGAGGTAGGAGAAAGTAATCAATATTTCATTATTATATAATCAGTAAACGATCGAGTGTAACATTTTTGCATAAAATATTAGCGAAAAAGAAAAAGAAAAGCTACTTTCATAAAATTAACATAATCCCAATTAAAGATTGGTTTCCCAACAATATAAAAATATCGCAAAAAGTGAAAATTTCCTCAAAAAACAAAAATCACGTACGACACGCTTATTAGTTGCTCCCCATTTTTGTTCTTTTTTTTACGAAATGAAAGAAGTTAAAAAGAATCAGGTTTTATAACGTGTCATATTGCGTGTTCCTTTTTAAAAAAACGCACGTTATTTTCACATATGGTAAATAGAGACTCCCACTGTGTGTCACCGTAAGAACTCACACACGTAAAAAAGAAAAAAGAAATAAAGAAAAGAAAAAGAGAACTTAGGCAGGTTGACTACTATATCTCTGTTTTGTAACTAACTTCTCTCTGTTTTCCATGTTGCATCTCATTTCTAACGTTGACGACGTTTCGCGACGCCCATTGTCGTCGCTTTCTCGCGATGTTAATTGAATACCAGTAGCGAAATATCGTTGGCGAATGTTACCGAACGAACTTACTATAGTTTCAAGAGAGTAATAATAACAACAACACAAGTAGAGATGCTTCTTTGGCTTTTTATGTTACACACATACGTGCAACACACACTGAAAATATCACTTTTTTCTCACGACATTTTCATTCATACGTTTCATTCTTTATTTTTTTTTTTTTTTTAAATACATACGTTCTCATTGTATTTAATCTCACTTAAATGATTAGATCAACTTAATGTTAAAATTATAAATTACTAAGTTCGAGGTTGAATCTCTTAATACTCGTGTAAGTCAATTAATTATGATACAATTAATCTTTTGAAAAAAAAAAATTTAAAATAATTAACCGTAAGTTTAATCTGTATTCTATACGAATTTAAAATTCATGAAAAATGATTTATTTATATGTGAAAGGAATCTTATTATTTGTCAAAAAGTTTCGTGATTTTATAAAAGATAAAACCTGAAATGATAAAAAAAAGAAAAAACCAAATAAAAGTCGATCGTTTGATCTTCGAAGTTGTTGGGGCGCACCCAGTGCAACAACATTGATCTTACGCAAACACGTTTCGTTTCAGTCGCACCCTAAATACACCTTCAACTATGGTGTACACGATCCTCACACTGGCGATGTAAAGACCCAACACGAAGTCCGTGACGGTGATGTAGTTCACGGTTCTTACAGCGTCAACGAGCCCGATGGAAGTGTACGAATCGTCGAGTATACTGCAGACGATCATAATGGATTCAATGCTATAGTTAAAAAGGTTGGACCAGCTATTCATCCTAAACCCGTACCAATTGCTAAATACGTTTCATCGCCAGCATATTACAATCATTACGATTAGATACGGTGATTATTATTATTTTTAGACGATTAATTAAAATATTGTTTATTTAATTTTATTCACAGTCCGCAATGTCCTTGTAAGGAAACAAAACATTACATAATTTTCTTTAATTTGTTCTATTTTCCATTTCTTTCTCTCTTTTTCTCACTCTTTTTCTTCTTTCTGTTTTGAATGTACCTCAATTCGCGCCAAATGTTTTAACGGGCGTCCGCCATATTGACTACTCGAGTAGAGTTCTCCTCGTGTAATGTTGTAAATGTAACGAGCGTTTAAACTATCCGTCTGATATGATCAAATATTAATGTAAGATCATACGAAAGTAATTTTCTCATGCCGAATAAAAGATTAAATTATATATTTATATAGAAATATTATATCGTCTATTTTTTCATTTATTAACCCAATATGAAATGATTTTATAGGATATAGTAGTTAAAAATCATCCCTAAGAAATTAACCCTTCCTTTCAAACAATTTTACATAATCATGCTTTCATTAAATGAATTTAATTTAATAATTATGATATTATATATTTAAATAATTATAAGAAAATGTGTTTATATTATAAAAAATACTATTGGAAAAGATATACGAATAATGAGTACTTTTAAATGAAATTAAATCGTAGCATACTCGATGACATTTGGTATAATGAAAAAAAAAAGAAAATAAAAAAATAGAAAAAAAATAAAAATCGAAAAAATGCGACTTTTTCAATCGGATTCTAGAAAGCGTCAGGTCATTAACTTCCCCCGAGAAAACTCGTTATTTTTTTGCTCTCTTGTGCACTTGTATCGTATTTTCACGGTATCGATAGAACCGACATAGGTATTTACTTCGTAAAAGTATCTAACATTGAGATAGAAAAGCCATTGCTTTCGTCGCGAAAGAATTCCCTCTAGAAAAGAGATTTTGATTTCGTTATTCGAGCGGAAATAAAGTTGGAATCAAAGAGATTTGACGCTGTTGGTACGGTAGAACGAATCTAGCGTGAAACCGAAAAGAGTTTTTTTTTTTTACATCCTAGATAAGGAAAGAAAATACTATATATGTATATATGTGTACAAAAAAATGCATATTATATACAGTATTAGACAAAAGTATTGGTATATACTACAAAATTCGTGTGTAATTATTGTTAATGGTAAATTTTTTAATAGATACGATTGTTTGGTTATTTTTGATCCATCAACGAATTTGAAATTTATTAAAAACTCAATAAATGTTTATAAATTAATAACAATTTTTAAATAATATACGGAACCCTTATAAAGTTTTTTTTATTGTAAATTCATTTCATTAATTCATAATTCAATTATTAATTAAAGAGACATTTTTTGTCAATAAATTATTAAAAAAAATAATCGTACTTTTAGCAAAGATTTAATTGTGATAAGAATAATTTTATTTGTTGCAAATACTTTTGTTTGATACTGTAGATCTAACATAAACCTATAAAAGTTGGAACAAGTGTTCTTATAAATAAGTTTTGAAATAACCTTGATAGAAACTATGAAAAACGGAGTCGTTAAAAATAAAAATAAATATGTTCTCGTAAAGAGCCGTTAACTTACAGCCGAATGAATGATTTAATGTAAATAAAAATTGCGTTATGACGCATAAAGAAGATATTTAAATTCCACTCGAGTGAGAAAAAATTTATCCTTCCATGTTCAAATTTTTTCCCCTTCTTTTTTTTTTTGTAGATATCGAATAGCAATGTTTTCGAAAAATAAAACGAACCAAAGTAATAAAACATTTGTCAAATTTTTTGTTCCAAATAATTTCACAAATGAATAAAATTATAATAAATAAAATTGTTTGTGTTTGCGTGTGGATTCATTTAAAGAAAAAAAAAAGAAAAAGAGTATATTTTTTCTCAAATATTATAATATTCTACAGGGTAGATATAAAAGTCCTCCCATAAATGTAGAAACGGTTGCTCAACTCACATGATTCCTATCTTCCGCTTGTCGTGTGTATAATGTGAATGTGATTATAATCATTTCTTCGTAAATGAAAATAAAATGTAAAGAGGAAAAAAAAAAAAAGAACTTTCGCTTTCGTTTGAAATCATAATATTTCGTAGTGGGTATCATCTTTAATTGTCCATCTTATAGTTGTGGTAAAGTCAATTAAATTAAATTAAATTTTCAACGACGAGAAGGAAGAAAGTTTTAACGAGAATTGTTTAATAAAGTTATTATAAAATAATCTTAAAAAACAATACCACAATTACAGAATTGGATTAATGTTTCGATTGAAATATCGAAGTTGATTTGATTTTCATTTATCGAAATTTGTAATCCAAAATTAAAAAAAAAAAAAAAAATGTTAAATAAATAAATACATTATCAAATGATTAAATAAATATCAAATAAATTTAATTAATGATCTACAAAATTTTTTATGATAAAATAAATGATCAAATAAATTTTTTTTTTTTACAAAGAGTGTGCTAAAAATTTGGAATTTAATGAAAGAAATTGAATATTTTAAACAAAAAAAAAAAACAAAAAATATAAAATTCTTCACCTTTTTAATCTCACAAATATTTAACCAAAAAATTCTTAAGTGCAAGTAATGAATAAAATGAATTCAAAATCTAAGTGCGATATCCTTTAGGAACATTCTCTTTAAAAGAAAACCAAGACACCAACCAATAGAACGAAAAGGGAATATTCTGTTCTCAAGTGTGGCTGATTCCTTCTCACTAATTCTTTCATTGCGTTTTTCTTTTCGAATAGAAAAAAAAAGAAGAAATCCTAATCCCCTGTTTATCGAACTTCAACGTATAAAAAGGTTTTATAATGTAGAAAAAAAAAACTTAGCTACATTTTATTTTTCCAAGATGTTTTAGGCAACCTTCTATCTTTTTGTCAAAGAAAAAAAAAATATGAGAAAAATATGAAACGAATCTTTTGAAAGAATATAAGAAACCTTAGGGGTTCTTCTAGAATTACCTGCATTAACAAAAAAACGAAGAAAACTATTAAAAGGGTCTAGAAAAAGTTCAATTATAAAATGTAAAAAATTTATCTTTCAACATTTAACAATTGACTAATCAACAACGTGTAATTCAAGGTGAGCTATCACAAATATTTCTCGTAACACGTCTTGTCATTTTGTAATAATGCATATATAATTAAATTTAATTTACTTTTATACAAAAAATTGTTCATAATTTGAACAATCAATAAAAATATATTATTAAACAAATAAAGTTTATACTAAAGATCTAAATATTGTTTATGAATATCTGTTCTGAATATCTTGTTCTTACAATTAACTTCATTTTTACTCACCTTTACCTATTCAATCATCATTCTTCTCAGCTTTTAACTGAAATGTGGTGCTTGTTTTACATATTATAAACTTTTCTATATCATTTATTATCTCATTAACAATAAATACATTTATTTATATTCTTTTTGTTAACGATACTATAATTAATAATATTTCAATAATTATTCTCTTTAAATGTATTTATTTTGTATCTTGTGTATATGTTAATATATACACGTTTGCACACATATACATATATATGTACGTAATACTGCGATGTAAAAATAAATGATTAAAAAAAAATGATGAAAAAAAGTGCATAATTTAACTAGACTTATTAATGCCAATCAAATATTATTTTTATTATGAAAAAAATGATTTAAAATTTAAATATAATAATAATAATATATAATTAAAAATAATGAATACTCACCGTTGCCTTATTGAATAGTTTTGTTGCTATAATACTGGTACTTTCAAACATATCCTTGCCAGGTCCTGATGCAAAACACATTTCTTTTTTTCCTGGACATGTTGATTGTTCAGTACAATTCAATCCAGAAAATTCACATTTTGGACCACGAGTATTTGGTGAAACGTCACCCAAGTTCGTTGATGCAAAGGATGCCACAAATGGACCCTAATTCAATTAATATAAATTATTTATAATTTATAATATATAATATATATTAAATTGTATAAATATTAATTATATAATATATATAATAATATATATATATATATATATATGTATACCTAATTCAATTAATACAAATTATATCTATTAATAAAAAAAAGAAAAAGAATTCAAGTTTCATTGATTTATTCAAGATTTTGAAAAAATTTTGAATTATAAATTCCATAAAAGTTCATACTTTCTTACCTTGCCAATCAAAGAATCTTTATTCATCATTTTTTCAAAAAGTACAGATGCATAGCCCACATTATCACTTGATATTAAATGATTAGTATTATTCATACTAGTTGGATGAACTGCAAACCAATTGATGACACCCAAAGGTCTGTTATCAGCACCAATAAACTGCATTTGTGTCATCGTTGTATCAACATTATGATCGTATCTAAAAAAGATATTAAGACGTAAATCTTTAAGGTATTGATGACGTCACATATTAGTTAGTAATCAAAAACTGATTGATTTTAAATTTGTCTGGTTGAAGAATAAAATGTAAAAATGTGGTACGAATTTATGGTAATATCTTTCTTAAATGTCAAACTAGTTTTTTTCATTTTTTTATTCAAATAAAATGTTTTTTATTGCATTTTTTTTTATTAATAAGAGAAAAATCTTATAGACAATAAATTAATTTGTAAACTTACTTATCCCTTTCATCTTTTGGATTATTTAGATATGCGAGTGGACTTCTGTTAATATTTGCATCGAAAATTTCACCTTGGGTAATAAAAATTCTTCCAGGTACAACAGCATCGTGAGCACGTTGAATACTCTAAAAATATTATTAAACAAAATTAACCCATTAACTGCCAAATTATTTTTTATTTCTATATATATAGATAATAGCTATTATTATGCTATTTTTCCATAAAGTCCACATAAAACCGAGTGGTGTACGTAAAATTCCAAAATCCCCAAATGGGGATCGTGACACTTAATGGGTTAATATAATAATATTATAATAATTTGTAAAATTAATTAATTAGTTTTTATTATTTAATATAATACTCGAGTGCAAATACTTTGATGATATTATAAAACAAAAATAATAAGAATATTACAATATATTAATTTGCAAAATTAATGAATTATATTTTTAATAATTTAATAATTTTTTATTTAAAATTGTTAAATTTATTTTTAATTATTTAATTAATATAAATTAATATGATACTCGAGTGGCAAATATTTTGATAATATTATAAAACAAAATTAATAATAATATTATAATGTTATCGATTTGTTATGAATTATATTTGTAAATTTACAAAAATGAATATAATAATTTATAAAAATTAATCGAATCGTTCCGGAAATAAATTAAAATAGAATTAATTTATACAAATTAATGTAATACACGCGTAATACTAAATCAAATGTCAAGGTTGTGAT